GGTGTGCATGAGGCTCCGCTTCCAGCAGGGCCTATGGGTACTGCGGGTTTGGCCTTTGTTGAACTATATCCAATGCCTCGTCATGTCATTGGAACAAGGGCTACCGTGGTCTGTTTACCCATGTCATGTGTAGGACGTGGGGTATTATGTGAACCACGAGACCAATTCTTCGACTTCTCCAGTAAGGATTCTGCTCTCTCTGCCGCCGTGACAATCTTAGACAGTTTGAATAACGGTTGCTGTGCCACTTTCTCTTTAATATCCCATCCTAACCCGCCTTTGAAACGGGCCACCATGCTAAAGGGTTGCACCAGGTTGTTACGGGATGACAACCAATAGAATTCTTTAGCATATTCAGCAATCGTTCTACTTCCTTGCGTGTAGGACTCATATTTCTGATAAAGAACCTGTTGTAATCAGGGGGTAAAAATCGAGCTTTCATCAACTTATTCATCTTAACCCATGTACGTACCGGATCTTTACCCTAACGTGCGCGGGTAGTTTGCACTTGATCCAACCATGCTGATGCGCCGCTTTTCAACTTATAGGCCACGAGTTTGACTTGCTTCTCCTCCTGAATTTTCATATAGTCAAAGAAACGTTCAACTTCACTAATCTAGTCCAAGAATTCTTCAATACGAAGATGACCTTGAAAGGTGGGTAGGTCAACCTTCATACGAAAATCCCTGGAATCATCAATTTCCCATCGACCTCGATTATCTCCAAACACCTGTACGGCTCGGTGGTTACCAAAATCGACATTTTCTTCATAGGCTGGTTGCCTATTCGGTGGGTTTGGGTTGCGATTACCAATTGGACGTCCATGATCACCGTTGTTGGGCAGCCTGTTGGTCTCGCGGTTAAGTTCTACCGTTGTCAATCTTGCAAATACTTGACGCATAGTTTCATGCATATCAAGTAAGGTTCGATTAAAGTTGGTTTGGAACTAAGTAAACTTAACCCTCAAAAGAGCTACTCCATCACAATTACCGTTGCTGGAGGGGTTACTTCTATCTCGTGAACCACCCATCAAAACAAAGGCGAATCTTGGATTCGGAACCTTGTTCTGATACCAACTAACGTAGTGGAAACGATTAAGAATAGAGTTAAACCTTGGAATTCACAAAAAACACACTTACAAGAGAGAAACTGAAATTATATTGATAATAATGATCTATGTAGACTTACATCTCTTGCCTTTATATAGGCAAGTTGAAAATAAAATAAAAAAAGAAAGCATGCGTGAAATAATATTAAAGGGGGAAATCTGAGATTTGATTGAGCAGAATCCTCCTTAAATCTTGCAATGGAGAATAATATTTTCTATTGTTGGCAACCACACCAAATCTTTTTTTTTTTTCCCTTCTGAATCCTCCTTAATTCTTGCAATGGAGAATAATATCTTCTATTGTTGGCAACTACACCAAATCTCCTTTTGACTTTTCTATATTTATTTATTTATTTTTTCTATTCTCCTTACCTTTTCAGCCTCCCTGATTTGCGATGATTCTGTATGCTCAGATAATCGTGAGCGAGCTGTTCTACATCACATCTTAAGGATGTGCTCATTTCTAATTCTATTATTTTTTTCCTTGCCCATATATCTATCTCAAGATTCACATTTCTACCTCACTTTATGGATCTATTGTTTCTTGACTGCCAAACATTATTTCTAATGAAGAATGGCTGGTCTAATAGCGATTTGATATAACTTCTCTTTCAATCTTAGTAGAGGGATATGTGTCAGCCACAATATTTTAAATGAACTCCCCTATTTAACCCATCATGTTTTGATTTTATGATTGGCGTTATCTTCGTTGGACATCGATCACATAAATGTTCTAGACACCGTCCTCCATTTAAACCATCCTGCCCATTGTGAATAACTAGCATAAATAATGTTTGCTTTTTGGTATCTTTTGGTCCTCAATCTTCAGTATATATTCATTTGTATTTCTAGATTTACTAAAGGCACACATCATATATTCAATTATGTTCTTACTTATCTTAAATTCTTTTAATTCTAGAGTTTTTCTCGAAACCTTCAATTTAGTGCTTACCTCATCTCTTGTTTTATCAATGAAAGCAATATCATCAGCTATAAAATATACCATGAAATTGCCTCCTGAACATGTCATGTCATCTAATCATATATAACTAAGGTAAAAAGATCTGAACTTTTATGCTGATCCTTAATGTGAAGAGAGAGCCCACAATAATTGAAAATTCACTTTTTTTCACCACAATCATTTCAACTGTAGTCACTGTTCCATCATTCACATCCTTTGTGATCAATGTGATGTCAATATATCCTTTTGTCACTCTTTTGTTTTCTAAATCCCTCTATATTACATTTACATCTCTAGGGATCCTATCTTCATAGTTCTAGATCTCTGCTGACTTGATTTGGACTCAGGTCAGAGTCGAGTTTGGGTTAGGCGAGATCTCGACAAGAATAATAATCACTGCTGACTTCATCGAGACTTGGTTTGACTTGGTCTGACTCTGTTGATACAGTCGTGTCTCCGTCTGTCTCGGCTGAGACGGTCGTGATTTGGGAAATCACTGCTGTCTCTGCCAAGACCTGGCCCAAGTCTCTGCCGAGAAGGCCTTGATTTTTGTTCTAGGTCTAAAAATCCAATTTTTTTCCTTCCCTCTCTTATTTATTCAATCTTAAGATCAAAATAGAGAGAAAACCATGCCCCCACCCTATCGGACAATAGATTTACCTTAAGTGTTCCGAACTCGAGATTAATCAATAAGTTATGATATTTTTAGCAAACAACTAGTATATCTTTATTATATTAAGTTTAAAACATACATCATAATATGCATATATTAATATATATTGTTTTGCTAAATAACTCAATAAAACAGTTTTAAAAATAAAAAATTTAATAAAATTCATGAGAAATATTTGGAAATTATTTAAAAATAGGAACAAGCAAATAATTAAGAGTATATGATCTTTAATTCATATTCCATATCCAACTACAGGTATACTGACTCCAACTGAAGCTATTATCGCATGCGTTTTTGTGAATGTGACATGTTTATTTTTATTGTTTTAATATGAATTTGTGCCCATAAATTTAGTGCAAAGTACAATTTGTTATTGTTTATAGCACCTTAAAATTTAATTTATAGACCATTCTCTATATTAAATTATCTTTGAAATTTAATTAAATTCTTTTAATAATTTTAAAACTATAGTTTTATTCAATTTATGGAGTTAAAATTTGCACATTAGCTCGTTTTTATATATTTCCTTGTGTTGAAAATTTTTCATGACTGTGACAGTTGATACCTGTTACGTAACTCCCATTACAGCCCTAGACCGTGACCCTGCAATCTTGACCTCGTTTTAAAACCTTCCCTCTCATAGACTGTCTCTACATCAATAAAAACTTTATAAAAGATCTTTCTTCTTTTCTCTGTATCTTTCCATTAGTCTCCTCAATCATTTAAATAGCCTACATCATTGATTTTCCAACACTTCAGTTTTGCGTCTTAGTCTTTGTTAAATCGTTCTCTTCTAAAGTTTCACCGTATGTGTCATATATCTAATTCCACGATTATTGGTAATTTGGTACAACTTTGTATAACCCTCTTACCTTTATAATTTTATATATAGCTCAGTGTTGTTAAAGGCGTGCCTAGGCTCGAGGCGCAGGTCTAGCGCCTGTTGTCATCCCAGGCTCACTGATGTTTACTAGGCGCGCGCTTCACTAATTTTTTTTTTTTTTTAAACTATGATTATTCTATTTCTTAAGCCAAAAAGGGTACTCTTGGCAAGTTAATAAACAAATAAGAAGCCACGTCAGTTCTTTCTTATCTTTGTTTACGTCTCTCTCTTTTTCTAGTTCTCCTCTTTTTTTTTTTTTTCTTTAACACTCTCTCTCTCTTCTCGTCTACTTCTCTCTCTTCATCCACTTCTTCTGTCTCTGTGTCCCTTTTTTTGGCTCTGTTTTTTCTTTTCTTTTCTTGTTAACAGATTAATTTCTTTTTGTGCTCTGTTTTGCCATTCCAAAAAACAAATTCTGCTTTGCCTTCTAAGAAAACAAATTTGTGCTCTGTTTTATTGTTGTTGGATGCTTGTTTAGTTGATGGATTTACTTTTTTATATTTGATATTAATTTTTAGAATATTGATATGACTTATGAGATATGAATGTTTTTATAGTGGTATAAATTTTCAATTGTGCGCTTCACTTCACTTAGGCGTCTGCCTCGCTGTGCGCCTCGCGCTTAGGCTCCAAAGGACCTCTAGTGCATTGGTGCGCCTTGGGCCTTTAATAACATTGATATAGCTACTAAATTACTTTTGTATTACTCATCAAGCATTTTCTTAGTCGTTATTATCGTATTAAACAATTCTGTTAGCAAAGTTGCTCCGTCATCCCCTGAACTTTTTTTTAACTTTAATAGGAATGCCATCTGGTCCTAAAGCTGTTCTAGATTTCATCTTCCTTAGTTCATTTTCAGCCGAGACTCCTAATCCTATGAAAAACACTCTCTTCGTTCTTGTTAAAGTTAGAATATTCTTCTAAGCCTAAAATCCCTTGATGATATTCATGTAACAATTTCTCATCTTTCTTTGATTTTGTCATCTTTTACTTAAGCCCATATATCTTCGCTCTTAACCCATTTGATATGGTTAAATCTCTAATTTTTCCACCCCTTACTTTAGCAAGTTTATATATTTTTTTTTCTCCCCATTTTTTTTTTTACCTAATTTAGAGTAGTGGTCATTGTATGCTCAGTATTTGACTTCCCTCACTACTTTGTTAATTAAAATCCCTAGATTTTTTCTCCCTTGGGCCAAAAAGTGGGACTCTGTTGGCATATCCTCTTTATATTTTGAGGAGAATGTTGAGCACAAGAGTCTACATACTATATTGATGTTTCTTTGTTGGACTGTGGAATAACTGGTTTTGAACATAACAGAAAAATGATTTGTAATTGATTAGTGTATCACTACCCATGTTTCAATGTGAACAGCTACCATTTAGGGTGCGTTGGACAAGCTTACACGAGAGATGTGACATTATTTATATGTCCATATTGCCAACTTGTGGAAGGTGGAGAATACTCTCGAAATGGGGGTGGTCCTATGGTATGCATTTAGTTTTCAAAATGTATTTTTTAAAGAAAACTTGGGACTTTCATTCTCACTTTATGTTTTTTTATCATGCAGAAATTTAAAGGGAAGCGTCCTGAACTGAGTAAGCTCATTGAGCTTTTATCTGATGCTGAGGATTTCTGTGTACGGTAATGAGCGGCCCCTTGCTGTCTTTTTAGAATATTAAATGCAAACAATTCCTCGGGGGGGGGGGGGGGGGGGGTCGTTGGTTTTGTGAGTGGTACCAACTAGGAAAAAAAAAATGCATAATTTTGTGTATCATTTTACTGCCCAAGTTCTGCATTTTACCAAGTCCATTTTTCGTAATGCATGGTTGTTCCAACTTTCATGTTAGAGTTGCTATGAAAGGAAAAGATGTGCTGGTGTCAATCCTCCCTTGGCTTTCTTACCCATGGAAAGACCAGCTAAAAAGGGTTTCTGTGGATGGGATTGATTTAGGAGTCTCTTTCTGCTAGTGTATCATGGAGTAGTGGCTACTATACATGGGAAAGACAAGAAGTATGCATATTCTTACAAGTCACAATTCTAAAGATTCTCTAGATTTTTGAATTCAAGATTTGAGAAGGCCACTAGCACTTACACCATTTCTCTTTAGCATTTTGTTGATAAGGGTAATTATTTTGTTTTTTTTCTTTAAACCTCTTCTTTGTCTTGAATTTTGATTAATTTGTGGAGGAACGTGGATGGGCCAGTATGCATCATCTTTGATTCAAGTAGGGATTTAACAGTTAGGACTTCCAAAGTCATGCTTAGGCATGAGCATAGCGGCTGCTTGAGGGGAGAAAATTTCCTCAGCTGCTTAACTTTTGTTTGAAGGATACTTGATCAATATCTCTCGGCTGTTTTAAAAAACTGAAAAGTTCTAGTAAATTTTGAAAAGAATTTGAAACTTTTCTTATAATGTTGGGCAAATATGATTAACATGTGTTTTAAAGACATTCATTTTAAACATGTGTCCATGAATAGTTGCAAAAGTGGGCAGAATGTCATTTGCTGCATTTTTTGAGCTCTGAAACTATAGAAATGTACCCTCACGTTGGCCGATTGTGATGAAGTAAACTGGTTATAAATCTTAGATCAATTAAAATGACGATTCTATATCTGACAGGAATGCTTTTGCTGCTTCATTTTTATTGTGCTTTAGTTGACTACTTGATGAGTTTCTTCAGTCTTCATGCCATTTTCTTAAATTTCCATTTTTTATACAGAGAAAAATGTGATTTTTCATCTCATGACAGGATTGAGGAAAGAATTATAGTTTGCCAACTCGTGGAGAAAGCACTTGCATGCAAAGCTTACTTAAAAGAAATAGTGGATTTTGTGCTTGATTATCTTGGTGAAGATCTTAGCACAGTTGCTCAAAAACTCTCTGTTGCTTTAAAGGTAGTAATTATCAGGGTATTATTTACTGCGGATATATTTTGCTCAGGAGGCTTATACTCCATTCTCATGGTAGTGAATTTTCTGGTGAAAGATCCTTACTTCTGTGCCTATTAGTATTTTTATCATTGCATGCATCATTGGCCTTAACACTTCTTTTCCTGCAGTGTTGCTGGCCATGCTTGTGATACATTGCAGCCACAACTTTGTATTCATTTTCCTAATTGGAAATAGTTTTTATTGTACACAGGCTGTTGAAACAGCGGGTGTGCATGATCATCAGGGTAACTGCAATTTTGAGATGGCATTAGCAAGAAATTCATGGAGAGTAACAGCCAATAAACTCTTGGATTGTTCACAGAGACCTCCCATTTTAGTAATCCAGTGTCATTTGAAAGAGGTATACAATATGGGTTATATGTTACCAAAGTTTTTATGGGATATTCTACATAGAAATTTTGTTTACTTTTGCAAGTATTCTGTTGGGGATAATAATGAATAGGATGAAAATATTGTTCTTACTTGTATACTTCAACCAAGAGATAAGTTGTAGCACTGAACTCTTCTTTAATTTCATTGGGATTGTAGCACCAGTTGTTAAGTTAGATCTCTATTGCATTTAGCATGCATATGCACATACAAGTAAGAACTTGCGATTCATGCTCATAAGGAATAACTGTCAGATCTCTAAGCTCCCTTCTTGATTAGAATGCATGCATTATTCACTACTCGGTAAATGTTTATTCAAAATAAAGATGGGATTGATGGATCTATTATAAAATATGTAGAATAGAGTGAAACTTTTTCACTTTTGTTGCTACCCCAAAGGATTAGGATATGGCTTTGTTATTCTGAAATTGAACTCATCAGTCTTTCATAATTAATGCATCTAGAGTCCTAAAAACATGTTAAGATACAGATACAAAATACGAATACAACATGACATTGGTATGGTGAGACGATAAATTTTTGAAAAGATGGATGCGGATTTAATAGGGATACGGGAATAAATTAATGTTATATGTTAACATATATTGTAGATTTTATATATTACTCAATGTTTTATGACGAATGTTTTGGAATTTTAAATATTTAGCTAAAAATGTGTACACTCCATGTAAGGAAACCTAATTTATATAACTACAATCAATGCTACCCTAGGTTTTTATTTATTTTATTTTTACTAAAGCTTTTAGGTTCTAACTGAATAATGACAAGCTGTAGGGTCCCTTTGTACTAAGAAAAACAAAATCGGGACAAAATATGAAAATCGACACCTTAGATCGAGAGCTGTGTTACATGGACTCGGGTACGTGTGTCGGACATGGGTATGTATCCATGTTTGGGACATGTCAAATCTCTAAACAGAAGGACACATCGACACGGCTAAATATTCATTTTATTAATTATTTTATTTTATTTTCTAGAGTAAAATAATGTTTTTATCTAGTATAATGTTCAATAGAGGCATTTAACTCATTTTAAAATAATAATGTAGTATAATTGAATGATTGGACATACGTTTAAATTAAAGGAACAACCAAAGTATTGGATACATATTCCATACCTAGGGATGATAAAATTTGACACTACACGAACACGACACAAGATAAGAGGGCTTGGGTTTGGGCTAATCGTGTTCGTGTCGTAATCGCGTCGACACAGGTTCACCTGCTAACTAAATGTGTCGTTTTCTTGTTTGACCTGATAAACACAATTATGACACGATTAACCCGATTAACTAAACGTGTTAGATAATCGTGTCATGTTCGTGCCAAAAATGATCCATTTAGCTAAATGTGTGGAATAAATATGTTATGTTCGTGTAAAAAATGACTTAAATGTGTCTTTTCATATCGTGTCAAGTCTTGACCCATTTATTTTTGTTCTCTTTTTTGTTGGGGTTAGGGAAGAGATTGTTTATCTTTAGATGAAATTGTGGACTTTTTGGGTTCTTTGGGTCCATAGGTCATCCCCCTCCTCTTGTTCGGTCCTTGTATAGCTCTTGGGACGCGTTCCCATTTTGATTGCTTTCTAATAAATTTTTACTTATAAAAAAATAAAATAAATAAATAAATAAACAGGTTATGCGTGTCGTGTTACACGTGTAATAATTGTGTCATGTTTGTGTCAAGGGTCTCAGACATGATTAATAATCATGTCATGTTCGTGTCGACCCTAATCGTGTTAGTGTCGTAATACCCATACCCATGTCTGAGCAATATGTATCCGACACGGGTACTTCACTACTTTTGAAGTGTCCATGTAACATAGATTGAGAGACAGTCAGAACAGAGAGGTTTGACTCATTCTCTTTCCTCAAATACTATGTTATCCCTTCTTTTTCAAACGTGAGGCAAGGCACTAGCCACACAACTAGTATTTAACTAAATTTTTTAAGTTTAATCAATGGTTGAAGTCCATGAAAGTCTGGTACGTGCTGTTAAAAGGTTCGATCAGTCAGCTCTTTAGATAATTTAAACTTTCGATTTTCAACACGATATTCCCATATTTGGTACGTGCTATTAAAAAGGTTTGATCAGTCAGCTCTTTTGATAATTTAAACTCTTGATTTTCAACACGATACTCCCATATTGAACCATTCTACTCTTCCTCACTAGTGTAGTTATTGGTTTGTTGTAAATGGTCATGCCATCTTGCTCTTTTTTTTCTTCTCTTTTTTTCTTTTTATGTTATCACAATTAGTTCTACATCTACCTTCTAATGAATGTGTTAAGTTTCTTATTATATCTTTCCCTATTTTACTAGATATATATGACATCTATTTCAACATTTGCATCTCAAATGTGCTTATTTTATGAACATGATGTTTCTTAGTTGTCTAATAGCTCCTCTAATGAACATGTTTATTACTATTCACGAGACATTTTTTTTTTGAATCTGTTTCATAGAGCTTGGCTACCTCTAATATTAGTGTCTTAATTCTTTACGTTTGTACTCTAATTGGGTTAGTCGGCTGGATTCGTAGTCATATGGATGGTATTTTGTGATGGAACCTCAGTGTGCTTAATAAGTTGGTATGCTGTGCTAACAACTACCATTACTAAGTGGCTGTCGTTCAATTTAGATACTAAGAGGTGTGGAGTGAGAATTGACTAACATATGGCTTCATTTGCATCATGTGGTTTGAACTCTTCTTTTGATGCTTGACAGCCCGTGTTTTTCATGTTCCACTAAAATAAACTGCCAAAATTCTTGACAATTCCTTTGCTGAATTAAAAAGAAGAGACCGAGCCGCACTGGGACCCGTTTACGACCCGACAACCTGATGAATAAGCTTTGTGTGGGCCCTTTTTGCTTGTGGGTCGTCGACCCTAATTAGTACTCTCTTGAAGCCCGATATATAAAGGCATTTGGGATATGGAGTGTGATATTGAGAGGAAAAAAATTCAGAAAAGAGAGCAAGAGCTAGGGTTTGGGGGGCTGAAACTTGTAATCTCTAGATTTTCGTATGGTGAATTCTTTCGCTGGATCCCCCCCCCCCCCCCCAAAAAAAAACAACTATCCGAGGGAGGTGATTTAATTAACCGAAGTTAGCTGAAAGGGAGCTGTTTGGACATTGAGTTTTCTCATATGTTTTTGAGACAAAAATGTCCATGTGCCTATCTTATGTACCCCACATATATATTTACTCCATTATCACTCTCTGCTGCATATCCTCCACCATTGCAGTAACACGTACTATTCTTCTTGCTCAACTTCTTTTATTTATTTATTATATATACCATTATAATATTATATATATTATGTGTCATAATATAATGGTATATTTAATATATATAATATGTATCAAATATATTTATACTATATTTGCTTTTCCATCCAGCCTTTAGACCTATATAAATCTGGGTTTTTCCTTGAAATTTATCTGCCTTTTTTTTTTTTAGAATTATATTGTGCATTAATTTCTTTGGTTTTTATTGATTTTCATTTCATATTATTTGTTAAAGGAATTCATCTTCTACCACTATGAGAAATAAAGCCTAATTTTTTTCCTTTTTTTTAAAATATTATTTATGCCTAAATGTTTTTCCTCATTTTTTTTTTTTTTTAAATAAATCTTTCAAAATAGTTTTTATCTATAAAAATCCATTTCATGTGGCTAATGTGACGGTCATCATGACATTATTCTGGAATTGTTTAACCCATGCTTTTACAAACAAAAATAGAATTTTTTTTTTTTTAATTAAATAAAAGACTTATTTCAAAACCTTATTTTTTATCTCCTCGACAGTCTAGTAAAATGTTAACATGTTAAAAAAAACAATAGAAGTGTTAATTTCTATGAACCATGTCATTTAGGTTATTTAAAAAAAAAAAATCAAGACGTACCCACAAAGTAGACTTTCAAATAGGCCTAATGGGGTATTTAAGTCAATTTTTATATCAATTCCCTTTCAGCTAATGTCCGTTTGCTAAGTCACCCCCCTTAGACAGTTGAGGGGTGCTTTTTGGCCAAAAAAAATAGAACGCCCCGGCGCCGGGCCCGGGGGGGGGGGGGGGTTGAAGAATGGGTTCACCCTTAAAAAATTTCTCAATTTACAATTACTGCTTAAAAATCATGCTCTTAGCACCTAAGTTCAGACTGACTTGGCAATTTTGGTACATGTTGATTAATCTCAATATATTTGAGGAGGAGGCAGATTTGGTCAAGAGTGCACATTGTTACCGAATGCTGGGCAGCTAGGAAACAACATTTACGTAAGGTGAGTGTGGCAGAAATGCGAATGTTGAGATGGATATGCGGCAAGGATAGAATTAGAAATGATCACATTTGGGAGATGGATGGAGTAGCACCAATCGGAGATAAAATGAGAGAAAATCGGTTAAGATGGTTTGTGCACGTGCAAAGAAGACCTTTAACAATGCCGGTTAGGAAAAGTGACAGATGTGAGTGTAATACTAGGGGAAGAGGAAGTGCAAAGTTAATGTGGGTAGAGTTTGGTAAAGGAAGATATGATAGCATATGGATTGATCGAGGTTATGGCCTTTAATAGAGTAGAAAAGAAATATGGGATTCACGTAGCGGAGCCCATGTAATTGGGAAAGGGCTTGGTGGTGGTTGCTGCTGCTGCAAGAAAATTTTAGTTTCTGAGTCTGCAGTTCTTTGAAGAAAAATTGGTTCGAGGGCATACATTTTGCATTAAGAGGGGGGAGTAGTTGGCATGATGATATGGAAGATCGGACACTTGGTCATAGTTCACGTGATTTGTTGCTTCTCTGTTGACTGATTATCTGTACTTGATTTTCACGTTTCTTTGTTCGACACCTTTAGTTTTAACCATGCATCAGTATAAATTGTTGCATTTTATATTTATATTTATTTTTTTACCTTAAAGCTTAATCCAGTTTATGTTCATTTCAGGGACTGGCTATAAGCATACCCCCTGAGGATCACTTCATGCAGAAACTTACAGAAGTGAAGAACATTGGCATTCAATGGGCAGACAAGGCCAAGAAGGTCCTGGATATTGCTGATATAATTTCTACCAGGTTAAAAATTGTGGTCGTTTAGTTTAACACTTGTATTCTGATACACAGGTTTCTATGGATTCTGGGGCACTTGCATTGGATAAAGTTTTTGAACTTATTACTGAGGGTGAAAATCTGGCCCTTCACTTTGAAGCAGAACTTAAGGTAACAATATTTTTGTTGACTTTATGCCTGATTATTATTATTATTTTCATTAAATCTACCATATGTTGCTGGTTGCAGTTATTAAGAGATCGAAGTTTGCTGTACTGTATATGTCGGAAGCCTTATGATCAGAGAGCAATGATTGCTTGTGACAAATGTGATGAGTGGTATCACTTCGATTGCATTAAATTATCTTCACCTCCAAAAATTTACATCTGCCCTGCATGTAAGCTTAAGACAGAGGAGGACTTGTCTATGTCACAACTGATAACTGCAAAGAGGTAGGTGTAGTTTAATGTTAATGTCCCTTCTCTGAAAAAAGGTGGTTTGAATTGGCATCGTTATTGTCTCTGATGTTATGTTTAAACTGATGTCAGTGTGAGGGTGGAGCCAGGAATTTTGTGTGTTTGGTGGTGGTGGTGGTGGTGGTGGTGGTGTGGGGGGTGGGGGGGGGGGGGGGGGGGGGGGGGGGGAGGTGTTGTTGTTGATATAAAGAAAAAATGGAGAGAAGGATAGTTGACATTTGATAAATGAGGTTTTCATAGTGTGTAGCAATCCTCTTTTTAGTTCATAACAAATAATTTTTGAAGCATGGACACAGGACACGATACTACATGGATACGCCGACACGCCAAACTCTAAAAAAGTAGGGGGGGCGGGCGGCAAACTAGTAATATAAAATAAAATAATTTTGTAATGATTTTTTTTTTTCAATCCATTTTTAATGTATATTCTTAGGAGACTGTTTATAAGTGATATAAAGAAAAAATGGAGAGAAGGATAGTTGACATTTGATAAATGAGGTTTTCATAGTGTGTAGCAATCCTCTTTTTAGTTCATAACAAATAATTTTTGAAGCATGGACACAAGACACGATACGACACGGATACGCCGACACGCCAAACTCTAAAAAAGTAGGAAATGGACACACTGTGAACACGACTAATATAAATATGAATATCCATTTATATATCTATTGAGTAAGACAATTATTGAACATTAATTAATTTATAATTTCTATACTAAAGTTACATAAGTTAGAAATTGAACCTATTTGAATATCGAAAAGAATATGTCATCTTATACATGATATTACTACCCTATCTTGTCATTTTTTTTCATTACATACTTTGACACGTATTTAATGTTAATTATTCATTGAAAAGAAGGTTGGACAGTTTGATATATGTGCATAATGTATGTATATGTGTATATGTTTATGAATATATATGCACACACACACACATATATATAGTTTTATGCTGTAGCTAGAAAGAATCACAATAATAACTAACATATTTTTTACTAGATTTGAATATTTAAAAGCAAAACTGAAAAAGATTCACTCAAACTACCTTTAATAATCATACATAGATGATCATAAAAGGAACTTTTAAAAATTTGAAGGTCCAGCCAATTAAATACATATGCTAGTTTTTTACATATATAAATGAAAATTTAAATATAATGCCACCCCAAAAATTATTATTGTTTAAAATTACCTATTAATTTTCTCGTTCCTTCTCTCTCTCTTTAAATTCCTTAAAAAAAAGTTAAATTTTCCTCCTTAAATTAAACTTTAATTTTTTTCCTTGTAAGTTCTGTCATTTTTCTTTCTTTTCCTTCGACTTCTTTAAACTCTTCCTTTTTTTTTTTTTTTTTTTTTTCTTAATCTTTTTATTTCCCCCCGCGCCTGGGCTGAACTGAAATTCTGGCTCCGCCCCTGACGGACCCCTCTTGCCCACCCCCTCCCTCCGCCTGTGGTCAGTGTTCTTGTGTCACTGAAGCTTTAATTTATCGAAAATGTATTCGTATCTTATGCTTCATCCGTTTTAACGTTCTCATTGGCTACTTTTTTCTTGAACATTATTGTCTGCACAGTTTTTGCTATGGTAAAGCAATGCTGGCCAAGTCACTTTCTTGTCAAATCTTTCTTGTACTCGATTTTATGTTTTTTCTTCTCTTTTCTTTTTTGGTGACTCTGAGGGGTAGCCTACTCTTTGGGTGGGACTAATAATTCGCTCTAGGTACACTGTATGCTCCAATCATCATACATGGCTAGTTTAGGAAAAACTCGAGACGTTGGCCCCAAGGGAGGGGAGTTGATGTAGTCTTTGTGATTGGTAGGGGGTTGACTCGGTTGTATTTTACAATTGCCCAATGCTCAAAAGAAACTTTTTCATTTCATCCATAATATGTTATACATGGGCAGTGTCATTTTTGGTCTCTTTGTACAGAAAATTTTGCTATAGGGTATATATTGGCCATCAATTTTTATTACCCTCAAATTTACTCTTAATTTTGCAAAAATCACCCTCTATATATTCTTAGCCCTGCTTAACATGAAAACCTTCTTGTATTAATCATTCCTGAAATCTTACTTTACGCATACTATACATTTACACACTCATTTTCCAAGAATTGTATAAGAATATCTTTTCTACTGTTTCTTCTTTGGTTACCAATATTTTCTTTTGCTTGTAATCAAAAGATGATATAATAGACAACAATGGGAGGAAAAATGTCAGCACACACCTAAATTCTTGTGGTGGACTTGCCTGTAATTTGGCTTGAACTCTTTGTCTGCTTAAGAAGTTTAGAAATGTTGATATTGTGTTATTTGAGAACTTGCAATTTGTCATTTTTCTATGTTGCAATCAAGTATAAAATATTTTCTACCCTCCTGTCATGCACAACTCACAAGCAAACATCCTAGGGTTATATTTTATATACTGGCTGAAGGCTGGTGCTGAGATCTATAGTAAGCATAATTGATCCTGTGGTACCCTACCTTTTTTGTGCCATGGGCTATTGGATTAAACTAATTATGTCAAATGTCACTTTTTGATCTCTTAGTGATTAAAGACACACACAACCTGTTTAGCTTATGTGTATGTACATCAATGGGTTGTCTAGGTGTGTATATATACATCAATAGATTGTATACTCCATATTTTGGGGACGATTTGGACAGTCATGTTGAATATTTGCACATGTTATTACATTCCTATTGTTTAACGAAAACAGTGTTGCATCCCTCACTCACTCGGATTTGTTGTCATGTAATGCAATGCCCTGAAATGGTTGGTGTACCGGCAAAGTAAACTCTGTTACCGTGAATATTTGATCCGGAGTTATCTCTTTCGTTTCAATTTTCTCATATTTTTATATATTAAACTATAGCTTTCTATGCTTTGACAGTTCAACTGGCGGCAAATTTGAGGAGCCTCAAACTCCCTCTCCTCAGCGCACAGAATTGAGAAGGAATTTGAAAAACCTGGAGGCCAGTGCTAAGCGAAAGATGCTGGTGAGTGCGGATGACAGTAAACAGTCGAGGGGTTCTAGTGTGATTGAGTGTTTGATGTGGAGAAATCGTAAGCCTTTCAGAAGATCGGCCAAGAAACGTGCAGAGCTTGATTGTCTCTCCTCATTCTTTCATGTACAACATTAAAGTGTTAATAAATATAAATCATTTAATTTATTCATTTAGTCCCTCCATTTCTTTTAATTAGCTGATGCCTGCCCAATGTGTAATACTGCCTTTTCCTTTTTTGTTATTCGGTTTTAGTATTCCCATTATTGTTTGACTAAACTTGGTTCTATAGAGGGAGGACTAGGATTAAAAAGTTAGGAAGGGACTCGCACTAAGCATCTTATCAAGTAATAATGAGTATTTACCACGTATGGAGTGATTTTGCTGTCACATTTTAGTTTTGGCTCCAAATTAATTTCTGTTATGAAGGATTATTTCGATTAAGTGACTTCTTCTAATTTTATGTAAATTAATATGTACAAGGATGAAAATAAGAATCAAGTCGGAGCTGTAGTTTCCACTAGGCAACTGAAAATGTATCTTTTCTATCAAGTATTTAATAATATGATCTATGCAAAAGTTAAAAATTAATCCCTCCCTCCCCACCCCCAAAAGAAAAATGTACACTTTTTTTATTTTTTATCAGCACCAAAATAAAATCCGTACTATCTTTTGTAATATTATTAATTTAACATTCGTGAATCTATAAAAGGTAAATCATTCCATCATTGTGGGGGTAAAATTGATAATTTACTCGTCATTAGGAGAAGCAATAAAGGATCTCTCTTTTGTAATTAATATTCCATATTGTGAAAATGGGGATTCTGATAAGAACTCAAACATGTAGAAAAAATTCACTTGGAATTCCATGGCTATATAATGTAATTTCTATACAATCCGAATAATATTTTGCCATTATTTGTACAAAATTGTTGCTTTATTGTAATGAGTTCTTGCCCTTAGTTATTGGATAAGTGCCTTCTGTCATTGTAATAATCTACTTATTTGTGAGCTCATGTGAGATTATTATGGGAGACAAATAAAAGGAACAATAATCAAACTGGAAGATTATTTCGAGATTAAACAACACAAACATGTTTTTATATTAAATTATCAGATTAAACAACACGAAACTGTTGATTCCACCCTATTATTTAGGAGTGACAATTGGGTGGGTTTGGGCGGGTTTTGGGTTGGTGATGAATGGACAAGTTAGTAATGTATCAATAACCCATTATCAGTCCAATTTTAGCGGGTCATAAAAAGGTTGGATGTTAAATGGGTAAGTGAAACCACACCCAACCCGATGACCCAAATATTTTTAGACAAATTGTCTAAATTATTTTGATTATTAAATACCAAAAAAATAAATAAATAAATAAACTGTTCTTACATTAATTTTTTGATTTTAAGTGTTACAATTTTTTTTCTTTTTCATTTTTATTTTATTTTTAAAAAAGTCACTATACAACTTATTCAACAAAATTAATTATATATATTTAGAAAAAAGACTTTTGAGAAGGATTTTTAATTAATTGCTCCAATTTATTTTCAAACAATAAAACAAAAGTTGAAGAGTGAGGCAGAGAGAGAGAGAGAGTTATCACGACAGAAGAAAAAAAAACCAGAGAGGAGAGAGAACGGAGGAGAGGGAAGAGAGAAGAGATGAGAAAACCGAGAAGAGAGAAAACCGAGATGAGAGAGAGACGGAGGAGAGAGAAAAGGGGAAGAGACAAAAAAAAATAGGAATGAGAGAGAATAAAGAAGGTAGAGAAAATAGGATTTTGTTTGAGCAGGTTACTATTTAATCCACTTTTGACCCTTGTATTGTAATGAATACTCATTTACTTAAATTTGGGTGTCTAAATAATTTAATTTCAGTGAGCAAGACAAATAAAATTTTGGCATAGACGAAAAATCTTTCATATTCCATTTTTCATGTTTTTCAACTTTTTTTATTAGACATGGTAAAGACCTTTCACCTTCCCTCTCTTCTGAATATTCCCAAGAGACAAATTTTTTTGTGTGTCTTTAGTTGTAAAACTTGAATCTATCTAAAGATTTAAAGCCAATTCTAGAACACTATTGTGACCATAAGGCTGGGAAGTGGCTACGGTTTTGTGCTTGTGTCTTTTGGGAATTTTGATATTTAATTTATTAAAATTAATATCTCATTAAAAATAATATTTTATTGGGTATTGAGAAATTTCCCACTTTTTCCACATGTCGTGCCTCCATCGGTCCATCTGTAACACCTAGAGAAAGCCCTAATTAATGTAAATAAAAATGCTAAAATTGGATGCATTTTTGTGTTCTTTGGATGTCATTGCTCTAATCTTCTCCCTACTCTTAAATAAAAGAAGCAAAACTTATAAGGGTTGCAATTGAACGAGGCTATGAGCATTGGTTTCGACATTATTAGTTGACGATTAATAAGTTGAATAAAGTTAATACAAAATTGACATATTTAATTGCATGTCAGTTAATATTTGACCCAAAAGAACATGTAGTAATTTTTCCTGTAATATGGTTTGTTAAAGAGAAAAATAGATAGAGTTGATCACGTCGGACCTATTCCATAGTGGGCTCAGTCAGATAGAAATGATTGTCGGAAGCCTTATTTCGACTTCGACTAGAGCCCAATCGGCCCATGAACAATGGGCACGCAAAAACTAGAACAAGTAATATTGTTGCTGTTAAGGCCGACCGACCATTCAAGCTTTCTGATTCACATATTGTCGACCTCCTTCAAAAACTTTAGATTTGAGGTGAGTATCATGTTCGTTGTTTCAACTGTGTGTGTGTGTCTGTGTGTGTGTGGTGTACTATACACAAACAGAGATTTACATAAATGTGGTATATAAGTATTTTTATTGCTTGAATGTTTCGTCCTTTACGTGTTTGTGGAAATGTCGCTCAGATATTGGTTCAAGAAGGGTCACCGCAATTGTGCTGTAAAATGGTTTCGCAGAAATGCTACCATTGAAAGTGTTCACAGTCTGCGTTCCGAGTCGCTGCCGAGATCCGACCTTGGTACGAGTTGAAGCCTCGATTTCGAAGGCCTTCAGTTCTCGGTCTATATTGAATTGATTTCTAAGGCCTTCAGTGCATCATTAAGGTTAGTGAACTCAAAACTGAATTGATTTCTAATTCTGACAGACTTGGTAAAGTTAGGTTTTTGATCATTATTCATTACCATTTGCCTGATTTTTTTTTTTTTGTAACTGAGTCATTCATTTGGCACATTGATAAAAGCAAAGCCATTGATGTGTGACTAAGACCTTGCTCTGCAACAAGTTCACACCCTCTCTGCTCAAGCATTACCTCTTGAACCCTAAATTTTTAATCACATTTCAAACTCACCCATCAAAATCTTGGGTCCCATTCCTTGACGAACAATTGCATTATCAGGTTCCTCCAAACATGCATCTATCTATCTATCTATAAATATATATATTTGTTCTTCCTTCAAAATTTGGGGATGTGGGATAATTTTTTAGCTTACTCCTCTTCCGTTTGCAATTTATATCATCTTTTATTTTTTTGGCTTGGCTTTAGAGTAGTTGATCAAATTCGTTCTTGTGTGTGTGTGTGTGTTTGCTTGGTTATCCTTTTCTTTTCTTTTCTTTTTTCCCCCTGAAAATATGAGGTACATCTTCAAAGTGCAGTGGGATTTGTTGATTGTATTTTGTTTAGTTTCAACCAGGGGCAATCCCTGCTTCGGATATGCGAAGAATGTGACATTGAAGTGTATTGTGTGCATAGGAAGTATTGATTATTAATGGGTTGTTTACAAGTAAAATTAGGGTTAAAAGATTCTGCTTCCTTTCTCTCTCTCTGTGTATAAGCAATTCAGTAAGGGGATCCTAGTGAGATTGTAGTAGGCTTATTGCATGACCGTCAACTTTGAACGGGACCTTGTTTGAAAAATTGACTTGGAGTCTATTATCGACGGATTTGAGTCTTTAAAGACTCGTTGAGCACAACTTAGATAGATATTTTGCAATCTTTGAATTCAAAATTTATCTAGATTATGTTATTAAAAAAAAAAAAAAAAAAAAAAAAAATTGCTTAAGAAATTATGTTATTAAATTTATGTTTAACTTTAGCCCACCCCATTGACAATTCCTGGATCCGCCCTTGGTTCACAGTTTATCTAGTATTAACCTTTGAAGAGGTTTCAATTAAGTATCAGATTTAGCAAATAATAATTTCGTATCATTGCATGAGGGAGAGCCTTGGCGTAATAGTAAGGTCTCCCCAGACACCGCAATGGCGGGTGCCTCGTGCATTGGATTTTTATATTTTTTTTTCTTAACTCTAGTATCATTCTATCCAAACTATGTTGTTTTCCCTTTAAATCTCAATCAGATGTTGGTCTGGTTCACTGTTGTATGATGGAGTTCTATGTTACACGGACTTTCAAAAGTATGTGAATTACACTTGTTGGGCGCACAATACTTGGGCATGGGTATGCCTGTATGAGATGTGTGTCCTTACACTTTTGGTTTGACATGTATCTAAAAAGCATATCCAAATAGTTCAATTTTATTATATATTGCTTCAAAACGAGTGAAATGTTTATATTAAATGCAATGTTACATAAAGATTATTATTTTACTGTGACATGTGTGAGTATGACGCGTGGGTACATATTTACACCCGACACACGTACCTGACGTATTGTATCAGTCAACAGTTGATTGGTGATCTCTATTGATCAGTTTGGCAGCAATTTGTGCACTTCCAGAAGCTTGGCATTTTTTGGATTAGATTTGGATTCATCGCATGCTATTTACATTTCTTCCAGAAATTGTCTACTTAAAAAGTTGGATGCCTGCTTTAATACTTTGAATTTTCTATAAACAACAGAGACAATTGTGTTCTTATCAGATCAATTCACTTTAGGTTCAAGCATGAATCCTACTCTTTGGTACTTATTGATTACATGTAGTTTGGGTAATTTTCCTGAAGAAGACTTCTCAGATTGTTTTATTTATTTTATTTATTTGTAACTGTGCGCATTATATGTTTTATTTCTCATGCCTCATTTACATTAAATTTGTTTAGCTAAGTGTTAAATATGATTTTTTCAAGTAATAGACTAGCAGATGAAGTACATGAAGCCATTCAACTTGTTCCATGATTTGTTGAAGACAAATGCACTTAAACAAGGGCGTTTGCTTGGTTTGGATGTTGGTGATAAATATGTTGGCTTAGCTGTTTCAGATATTGATAATAAAATTGCATCACCACTAAGGTATGTTACTTCCCTGAATATGTAAAATTTAATAAAGTAAAGTTTCTCTTGTGATGCATTTTCTTCAGCATAACAATGTATATGCGATCTACATAGATTCGAGAATATTTGGATTTGCTCTTTCTTGGCAGTCAGTGGGTGCTTCCTGACAAGTTGGAAAACTTAATCTGCTTGGTGCTTGTGACAAAATAGATAATGTGAATCCCTTGTTTTCCTTCTTCGGAGTTTTGAATAAGGCTCATAATTTTTCATATATATGCAAACACCATAATGCTTTTATTTTTTATTATATATATTTATTTATATTTTTCAAGCTAAAAGTATATCATTTGGTACCAAGCAGATTAACTTTTCCAAAATTAAAGCTGTTCCCAGTCAAACTAAATATATTACCGGTCATTTTATGTAGAGAACAAAGCCAAATTAGAAACAAATCATAATCAATGCAAAATCTCCAACATTTCAATATAGGCAGAAGGTTGAACCAGTGAGTTCAGTGGCACTGTGCTTTTTACCTGTAAAGAGGAAGACAATAGCTTACTTTATTTCGTTTTTTTTTTTTTTTTTTTTTTTTTTTTTTTTTTTTTTTTTTTTTTTTTTCTCCCTCCATCGGCAAGAAACTCACACACCCGTTTGTCCCTATGGGGGCACTCAAACCCTCACCTTCCACTTTGGGAGGTAGACACAGCCTTTGGTGCTTACTCTATTCTTCATTCGCCTATACAATGGAGGCATGCTGAACTGGTGAATTAAGTAGATCAGACTAGTAAATCTTGTGAATGCTTCAAATTGGAAGCTTTCTTGTGGAGCATAAAATAAGTCATAAGATATTTTTACTTGCGCTGATTGAAGTATGAGTTACAAGATATGTTGGGTGTGTATTTTAAATCATGGTGAAAGAAGCCACGAGATAGTTATTGTTCTACATGCAGATTAGATTATTTGTTTGATAATGCTAAATGAAACGTTTTCCATCCAACTTAGTTGTTGGTTTGTGTTAATAACATTATGCTTGTTTAATTATTCATTATTATAAAAGTGAACTATTCTCTCAATTGTGTTTTAGAACTGAAAGGGTTAACCGTCAATCCATTTGCTATGGTGTTTATGCATACCACATCAATGATTATATCCGTTGAATAATCTGGTTTGTTATATTGTCAATGCTTCAGTGTTCTGCTCCGGAAGAAAACAAATATTGATTTAATGGCCATTGATTTTCAGAGTTTGGTGAGTTTGTGTGCTCCATCTTATTTCTTATTCTGAGATCATTTTTCTTCTTTCAAGTTAGGAGATGGAATTTAAATAGAAACAATTGCAAGAAGTACGGCCTGAGATGTTACTTTACAAAAAGGCAACTTAATGACATAGCAAATAATAGAGGTTTAAGTGTTATTAGTGTATGTTTATTGCAATTCCAAGAAGTATGGCCTGCAATGGTCCGTCACATTAATATCTCATCGGTATGGGATAAGCGGCCACGACACTTTGGGTGCTTAATTTGGGACCACATTTTAAGTAGAATCACGTTTAAAGTTCAAGTAATCTGGGTTCTTAAATTATTATCAACCAATGTCTTGTGTTTGCATGCAGATCTCTGAACTTTCTCTGGAGGGCTTCATTTTTGGATACCCTTTTGATAGGCAAAGAAACAGTCCTTATGTGCGTCTTCATCTCTTGAATCATCACTAGCCTCTAATTTACTTCCTAGTCATGAATTTCTTTCTCCTTTTCTGATCAGGCTGTGCAAGTGAAGGTCTTCGTTGATGACCTCTGTAAAACGGGAAAACTTGAAGGTTTGAGGTATACCTTTTGGGATGAGTGCTTCACGTCAAAGGCGAGTTCTTCTTGCTATATTTGAGAATTTTGATATGGGTAAATAATTATCCTTGTTATAGGGGAATAGCTAAGCAAATCAGATTATGAACTCCTGGCAGATATGCTATGAGGCTATGCCAAACTCTCAATTTTCTGACTAAAATTAACAAATGAAATTCTTTTTCATTTTTTTTTTCTTACATGTGTGTGTTGTTGTGTTTTGAAGATATATATGAGGCTCTCAGAAGCCCAGCTTAGGCCTTGCACCCAGTCAGAACAATCTTCTAAAGTTGAATTTAATGATTCTTTGTTAATTAACCATATGTGAACTTGTCCTCACTTTATGACCTCGAAACCTCCCTTTATGATATAAATAACATGGACTCCAATCTTCTAAAGTTGAATTTAATGATTCTTTGTATGATTTACAAAGAATCATATGCGAACCTGTTCTCACTTTAGGACTTCGAAACCTCCCTTTATGATCTAAATATCATGGACTCTTATTGTTTACTAGTTCTATTTTATACTAGTGACAGCAATGACCAATGTTTATAGAGCTAATTATTGTTCACAGAACGTGGAATTATTGTTGAAGCCCTTGAATTTGCACCCAGTGCAGTCGAAGACAATAATTGACAAATTTGCTGCCGTTGGAATTCTCCAGGTAATTGTCTGTCTTATCATGCGTGTGATCAATTTGATATAGATCCCTAGACAAATGTCTTAGTTCTCTTTAGTCTTTACCGTCCTTAATGAAATTAACCTGCTACATCTGGTTGAGGGATGGTTAAACGACAATGAATTCTGAATCAGTTTATTGTGTTTTACATGACATTTGGCACAACAGTATGGAAAATTACCGTATGGAAATATAAAAGTAAGTTAATTGTTGAAATCCACTCATGCCCTTCAAATTATATGTGAAACACAATGTTCTCATTTGCATTAGATATCTGAAGGGCCAAGTAATTTTTGATTCTGTGAGATTGAAGATTAGCAAATGGGACTTTATAATAGAGATCTATATAGGGTTAGTATTTCTTTAATGTTCAAGTTTTTGACATTTCTTCTTTGATTAAGGTCATTTTAAAATATTGAGCATTTTGGAATTTGAACTCCTCTTAACCTTTCCGACACAGAATTTCAATTAATTTTGATTAGATGTTTAAATTTTAAGATTCTGTTTAATGTTACCGAGACTTGAAATCGCGTTGTCCGGACTAGTAATTTCTTGATCGTTGGCAGGGGTACCTGGATTACGCGAACAGGAATCCAAAATTATCAACGGAGTAAGACCTTTCCTAAAATGGAGGCAATTATTTCTATTATCTATAGAAGTTACGAATGTTTTACTTTTTGTATCAAAGGGGATTCAGCTCATCTATAGTATTATAACTCTCATTGTAAATTATTATTTTCAGTTTTTTTCTTTAAACTGAAAGCATATACTTTTTGTTATTATGAATGGCAGTGTTTCAAAGGCGAGGTTGCAACTTGAGAATTCAATACTATCATTTGATTACATGGTACTATCGTATTGATCATTTCAAATTGCTACTGGGGTTTTTAATTTAGGAGTGTATTTTGGATAGTTGTGACTCTGCAACTTTCTAAGACTCTTAAAATTAAGTTATCAAATATTTACTATTAGCTAGCTCGATGCATGAGTTTTATTCATTGCAAAGTTTCTTTTGGAAATTTGTTACACACTTATTACTATTATTTTTAAAATGATATATTATTGCATGCTTCAGTAGAAAACTAACATTTCGCCCTCATTTTTGTGTTGGGTTTCAATTAATTAATTAATTTGTAGACAAGCTACACCAGATGTCTTATTAAATTTCATAATATTTATTGATCTTTAAAAATAAAAAAGCAATAGTTATTAATAAATTTCTTTTTTTAAAGGATTTAGACTCTCTTCATTAGTTTTTGTCTCCAAGCATGCTAAAGTTTACACCCAATTCTTAACATGCATTATCTTCATGTGCAATGCAAGTGCATTTATGTGTGTGTGTGTCTATATATATATATATATATATATAGTATTTACATTATCTTCCGTGCAACGCGCAACCAACAACACTTTGCAATACATAGGGCAAACATAAGGTAAAGTTTACCCATTGATGCATTTACAACTGTCAAACCTAACCCAAAACAAACAAAAGTAGCAATTTGAAGTCCATAAAATCAAATGACCTCTATACCCGATAAAACAAAACCTAAATGTTGTACGTGGTATTAGTGTATCCATTAAAATAATACTCAACAAAAAATTAACACTTGGCTCTGGCCGGTATATGACTCTAATTTGAAAGATGCTGACACATACTTTAATTGCAGTCCATATCCCCACCTTAATTACACATATCCACACCTTAATTAAAAAGATAGTACAATAAAAAATCATCACTTGGATTTGATAACGGTCTCACTAATATGTCCTATATATATGTGTCAAGCCAGATTTTTGATGAAACTGTCAAGTTCGTTCATCCAACAATATATATATGTCCTATATATATGTGTCAAGCCAGATTTTTGATGAAACTGTCAAGTTCGTTCATCCAACAATATATATATATATATATATAACTTATCCATGTCTATACCAGAATCAAGTTGTGAGAGACTTTTACTAAGTAATGAGTTGGAGGTGCCATTGATCCTCCCAATGGAAGAGAAATAAGCCAAATGTGTTTGATCCTTCACTGTCAGTACCACCCACCAGTAAAAGCGAGGTCGGACACCGGCTTCTAGCCGAAAACAAACACTTCCTTGCTTGCTTGGTTATGGTCACAAACAGAGAGTCCTTTCCTTACCTGGTATGTAATTTGCTTGGGACAGCCCTGTTTCCTTGCTTGTTATATAATTCACTTTTATTTGGGTGATAATGGAATGGCTTAAATAGTAAAAACAAGTAATATGATAATTTAAAATTTATAGATAGCCCTACCGCGAGTCGAATAACTATGTCTATTGGGGTATTTAGAGTTCATTTTCACCTTTATAGTTCTTGTACATTATTCTAGAGTGACCATTTTTTAATATTAATCTTTTTTTCCTTTCTAAATATTTAAGATATATATGTACACATTTTTTTTCACATGTCAAAAAAATATATATTTAGATTTTACCGGCCCTTAAATAATATGTTAAGTTTTTCTCTTCTATAAATTCACTGATTATCATAAAAAAAATATATATCCAATTTAGGATGTAAGGAGATGATTGGAGGCACTTTCCAATTTCTAATCTATATATATGGATAACACTTTTTAGTTTTTAGGGCAAATTTTTTTTTTTGAATTAAAGATAAAAATAAATAAATATATATATATATATATATATATTATACATTATTTACATTATCTTATGTGCAACGCACATAGAGTGTTTTCATTTAAAATTGTTAAAGTCTTATTCAAAACAAACAAAATTAACAATTAAATTAATTTTCATTTTAATCAGACAAAAAAGCAAAATACCCCTTTCAATTGTAAAAAATTAACATTTTACTCCTTACAAAAGTGAACAAATTAGTAGTGCAACTATCAGAATTGTACATATTGCCGTGCCCCCGCGCCAATCACTTTCGACACAGATTCGGTCAACAACAATAGCACGTGAGTTTTATTTTTTGACAAATCCATATTTGCCCTTAAATTTGACCATGGTAACCTTTTGCCTATAAAAGAACCCCCACCTCTTTCTCTCTCTAGTACTATTTTTTCTCTCACTATCATTTTCAGCCACACTTCTGTTCATCACCAAGATATACTCACAAGTCACAAATTACACATATTATATAAATATGAGTCAACAGATTACTTATAATTTTGTGTATGTGTGTGTATATGTATGGCTACGCCACCACCGGCCACTCTATTAAAATAAGGTTAGTGTGTCCAAAGGTCTTCAATCTGTTGGAAAATATATATATATATCTAACTAGGTTACCTATCTCTAAACAAATTGGGGGAGCACTTCCATTACGTACAAAATTTTCTAGTTGTAAGGTAAGACTATGAAAAGAGGAATAAACAAATTGGTTTCTCACAATCCTTAACATTTTCTGTTATAATTCAATCTACTACCAATCTGCATTACCCCATATATAAAAAACACAAATAAATACATACATACATATACATATATATATATATGTGTGTATATATATATATACACTCATATTTATTTATATATGTACATAGCCATACATATACACACACATACACAAATCTACTGCCAATCTGTATAACCCAATGTGTATATATATATATATATATATATATATATATATATATAAACATATACACACATATATACACCCACACGTACACATATACACAACCATACATAAAAAGATTGAGAAGGATGAAAATCCAATTGTATTCTGAAACAATGAATGAGGAACAGAAATCAATAAGGTGTAATGACAATAACCTGTTTGTCTATGCTACTAGCAATCCTGAAAAATCAATAAAAGCGAGTGATTGGTTAGGAATATATATATATCAAATGATTTGCAGATATGCAATACCGACAATGGAGAGTGAAATATATTGAAGTAGATTGGTTAAAGTACCGAACTTTGGAAGCAAGGTTTGCTGCAAAACGGTATATGTTTTCTTGAATCGAAAGTAAAAGACTTGATTCTACGAAGGAGAAGTTAGTGTAGTCGAGAGAGACACGGAGCAAATGGACGACGAGAGATGAGGAAGTTTCTTTCTGGCCACCGCCGCCCCTGGCCGGAATTCATTGCATCCGGGTATTCGACCGTCCGGACTCCCTTTTGGGCGTTGAAATTGGGTTATAACAAAACTCGAACCGGTTCGGTGGGAACTAAGGAATCGTGATCTCCACCTGCATCGTCGTATCCCTCATCGAATATCCTATCGCACTAATCATCTTCGCTTTGGTTTTCGCCCTGTGGTTGATTTTCTACTTCTTCCGAGACGATCTGATGATCGTGTTTGGCCATCACGTGAGTGATTGGATTATGAAGGTAGGTCTGGTTATGGGCTCGTTGGTGGCTGTTTGGTTCAACAGAATTATATATAATTCTGTATTTTCTTTATATATGTGCATCTGTATATTAGGTAAGGGGTATTAAGGGTATTTTACTTTCTTTAGTTTTTTTGCCTTTTTAAAATGTTAAATATAATGTGTATTTTTGTAAAGGATAATTTACACATACTTCTCCTATAGTTTGCCATAATTATAAAGACCTTTCCTCATGTTTCAAAAATTACACAGACCTCCCCTAATTGGATGTATATATATATATATATATATATATAAACACTTTGCATCCAATTCGACGGTGCCATAAATTCCCCACTGGAGATTGGACCATAAAATCATCAGGCCGTTGATTATTTTGTTACCCAACAAGACTACTAAATCCTCAAAAATCCGTTGATTATTTTGTTACCCAACAAGACTACTAAATCCTCAAAAATCAAGTTCTAATTTAGAAAATCCTCGAAAATCACAAAATCCCAAAGACCCGACATTGACATGATTCCAAGTTATTACTCTTTCCTTCTCTGTATATATGCATACGCCTCACGTATGATCTTCATTTTGTCCTCTTTCTTTCTTAATGTATATATTTATTATTTTGGTAAATTTCTCTCTGTATACATGCACATTTAGTCCTCAATAGGTGGCAAAAACCCAAACACAAGTAGAAAAAGAAAGATGAGAAAAGAAACCCAAACACAGGTAAAGAGAGAAAGATGAGAAAAGAAAGGTAGAGGAGAGACTAATTGTAGAGAGAAAAAGAGAAGGAACTAAATCTTGTAGAGAGAGAAAGAGTTTGCAACCTCTGCAAATTTTCTAAATCTGTTGAAATCTTGTAGAGTAAATCTACTGAAATCTTATAGAGAGAAAGAATTTGCAACATTAGCAAATTCGCAGATCTTTTCTAGACCATTCACAGATCTTCAGGCCTCCCCAACTAAAGCAAACGTCGGCGTTGCAGAGAGCCTAGAGTTTCAGATGGGTAGTTTAGTAATTTCAGATGCTAAAGAGAGGGTATTTTAGTAATTTTGACAGATCTGTTAGTGTATTTAATGGTCCGTCACACATAATGGAAGTTCGTGTGGGATACTTTCAAAATTAGGGGAGATCTGAGTAATTTTCGAAACAAAAGGGAAGGTCCCTGTAATTATGGCAAACCATAGGGAAAGTTTGTGTAAATTACGCTTTTATAAATGTACAATG